GTCCAGATGCCCACCCACCAGTGGTGAGTAGGGTGTGGTGGTACAGTGACTAACAATAGGGATGGCTGTGCAAGGCTGGTGGTGGGCAAATATGTAGCTGGCTACTCACCCCGCTGATCCATCAAAACACAGCCCTTGCTGTGTGTTGGTGCCCTCTTCTGCCTCCATTCCACCCCTTCTCCCAACCTCTCTCCCACAAGTGATGCAACCTTGGTCTCAGGCCGAAGGTACAGGGCTGCAAGGACTAATCTGGGTGGCCTGGAAGGAGAACGGGGGAACCTGGCACCAGCAGCAGGGGTTGCTCCTGCCCTGCACTCACCACGATGGCAGAAAAAAGAGTGAGTCAACCCCAGCCTGCTCCACTACCTCTGCTCCTAGCCACATTGCTCAGGAGCAGAGCAACCCAACCGGGAGATGGCAGAGTGGAGAAGTCTTGGACTTGGTCCCCCAGCTCCCCTCACCACTGGTGAGTGCGGGGTCTGTTCAGCCCATGCAGCCAGCACGAAGTTCCCCAGTAATCCCCTCAAACCACCCTGCACTGTTGGGGCCAGCAGGTCTGGAGCCACACTGGCCAGTCTCCCTGCGCTCTGGGACTGGGACAAGCTGAGGCCACACTGCCCGACAATTCTGTGCTTTAGTGCCTGGGGGTGGTGATTACACTGCTCAATTCCTCAGTGATCTTGGGGCATGTTAGCCTATAGGGACCAGTGGCCCCAGTGGGATGTTAGGGACATGAGGCAGAAGCCAATAGCCTTAATGAGGGAAGGGCTGGGAACGGATGGGCCTCAGGCAGAAGGGGCAGGGCTGCAGGGACTAGCCTCCTCAAGTCAGTGGGTCACCCTCTGCCCATGTAGGGTGGGGAGTGCCAGGAAGGGAGAGTCAGATTGGTCAGTCAGTCCCCTCCCATGTGAAAGAGGTATGTGTGTGTCACCTCTCCCATGTGTGCGTGGAAGGGGGAGTGTTACCCTTCCCCGTGTGAACCCTAAAGCCTTAAAGATAAGAAAGTAATTAAAAAGAATCCAAGTATGCACAATTTCTTTTTAAAAGGGGCTCAGTCAACTTGATGTTAATTTGAATGTTTGTACGATGGATTGCCATTGAATGCGCTTGAATACGAGTAATTTTACCAGATGTCCCGGATTCAGCATAGAGAAATATGGTCACCCTATTTGTAAGACTTGGAAAGGAACTTAGACAATGCTTTGTTCTCTTCACTCTGATCCTGAAGGTAAACTTCACCTATTTTTAAGAATATAAGACTCTGGCTTTTCCAGAGAGCAGCCAATGGACATAAAGGAGCCTATAGGATGAATAGAGAGGAGAACATCAGCATATATAAGCCTGTGTAATGGTTGCAACAATTAGAAGACCCCTTGGGGCTAAGGAGATTAAATCACAGGACTTCCATTGTTTCAGCTGGATAGCGAGAGAGCAGGCAAAATCCAGTGTCCAAGATTTGGCACTTTTAAAAAATTGTAAAGGATTTTTCCTGGAGTCTATTTGTTTTGTGAAAGAAAAAGCAACAAACAGTGTTGTCCTAGGAGCAAATAAAGCAACTAGAAAACAGACTAGAACTGTGTTGTCACTGAACATCTGGCAAGCACAGTAAGTATAATTACAGGAAGAAGCAGCAGAGTCTGTAGGCAAGATCACTTAAGGAAAGTAGTCTGCGGTATACAAAATGTAAAAGAACTCATTCTGGGGTGTGCACCAGAGTGACTTTTAATCTGTTACCTGTTTGTTATATTTATGGAGAAAATAAATTTAAGGAAGGATTTAATTAGAAGAAAACTGATTTTTTATTTCACACCCCTAGACTGCAACACTGCTTGGCTATTTGCCAATGCTGCAAAATCCATTGATGGTACAAGGAAGTGCTCCAATAATTCAGCTATTACACTACTGTGACCTATAGATCACAACAAACTTTCAGTGGTGAGCTCATCCATGGAAACCTGTGCCCTCCAAGGGTCTCTCATAGACTACGTTTGGCAAGTTTCACAAAACATTGAAAGATTTCATTGCTTGGATGTTCCACTTAATATTTTAATGACGGGAGTGGGAAAAGTTGTTAAAAAGCTGGGGCAGTCACTTTGTGGATTTGTATCAACATTAGGTTCCCAAAGTAGGGATTTTTGTGTGTTCATGACTAACCATTGAACTGATAAACGGAAGCTTATCAGTTAATGGTAAGTTACACTCAGCGAAGCCTTCTCCGAGGGAGGTAGGCGGGCAAGGGCTAAGCTTTATACTGCAGAGATTTTCAGTGGTTAAACAATTACCCTAATACACAATTTTTAACATCCCTAGTCGAAAGTGTAGAGGACTGGGGGGAAAGATTTGAAGAGCTGGCCTTGTGGGGAAGCAAACAAAGTGCTCAACTGTGTGGTAAGCACAGTCCTGATTAAGGAGCAGTGTAGACAAACCTCTTAAATGTGTCTAGTTTTTGTCCCAAAGTTAACTATGTGCCACACAAATCGATGACCATCTCATTTTTATTGTTGAAAATCATATGTATCACAAATAAAGAATCATAAACTAGAGATTATAGAGTCAAGTATATGACAGGAGAGACTAATAGGCTATGTCTAGACTGGCATGATTTTCCGCAAATGCTTTTAACGGAAAAGTTTTTTGTTAAAAGCATTTGCGGAAAAGAGCGTCTAGATTGGCATGGACGCTTTTCCACAAAAGCACTTTTTGCGGAAAAGCGTCCGTGGCCAATCTAGATGCGCTTTTGCGCAAAAAAGCCCCAATTGCCATTTTCGCGATCGGGGCTTTTTTGCGCAAAACAAATCTAAGCTGTCTACACTGGCCCTTTTGCACAAAAGCTTTGCGAAAAAGAGACTTTTGCCCGAACGGGAGCATCATAGTATTTCCGCAAAAAGCACTGATTTCAGACAGTAAGAAGTCAGTGTTCTTGCGGAAATTCAAGCGGACAGTGTAGACAGCTGGCAAGTTTTTCCATAAAAGCAGCTGCTTTTGCAGAAAAACTTGCCAGTCTGGCCACAGCCATACAGTCTTTAAAGTTTATTGAATGAATACTTCATTTGTGTCCTTCGTTTTAGGTTTTGGTCACAAACTGAATCCTCACATAGGTCTTCACAGTGTGAGTGGTCTGGATACCGTGTTGCATGGCCCAGGCAGGAATATGCATGGCATTAATTACCAGTGTGCCACAGGAGTGGATCAACTGCTACAACTATGGATGGAAAGGATTAGCCAGTTAACTGGTTACCTGGTAAGCAACTGCCTTAGTGGCATGCTTACCTGGTAACTGGTTAACCGGCGGCTTAGACTGGGAGCAGTGGGCCCAGCCAGGCTGGATCAATCGCCCACCTGTGGCACTGTGGGTGGGAGTCTGTTCCAGCCCAGCAAGGCCCACTGCATCATGCTGCAGGTGGGAGAACTGCTCCAAGGTTAATCAGCTAAATATACTGGGAATTTACATCCCTACACATAAGCTGTTCCTCCTTAATTACCCCTTTGGGATGGCTAGATTTGTCTGAATAGTGGCAATATATGGCACTATGCATCCTCCTGCATCCTCTACACTTCGCTCCCCTACACATGGGTGTGGCCCTGAATTCTTACGGTGAGATCTTTGCTCTTGCAGCAGCCTTGGCATACTGAAACAGTTCCAGTCAACTGAAAAACTATGCAGCACGTAGGGACTCTCAAGCAGAGGAATGCTCAGGTGGCAGAAAGCCCGTCTCACATGACTAGGAAGTACGGTAGGGTGGTGTCGGGGGATAGTGCTCCAGTTGTTGGCTTGTGTTTAAAAGCTGACATCAGAAGCCATTTTGCCAGTGTCAAATCAGGAGTATAGAAATGTGGCTGAAAGCCATCCTTCCCTCTCCTCTCCTCTCCTCTCCTGGGCTGCATTGAACACAAATCTTGAGTCTTTTCAACCAACTAATTACTTCCCTCCTTTCAGAGTAGTTCTCCCCTTGTTCCTTTTACTCCTGGCAGATGTACTAGGGACAGAATCAGATACCCACTTTGAAAGCTCAACCCAGAGACTGTGAGCAGCAGTGGAGCAACAGGGCAGCCTGCTCAGTTAGAAAGAAAGTCTGGGAGGTTAGCTTCCAGGAATGATCCAGATAGAAGACAGGCAGTTTTTTTAAAAGATTAACTAAAACAGTGTTTCTACAACTGCTGTATGTCAGGGTTAATCAATGAGAGCTCAGATTCCAGAGAGAACAAATCAATTAGATTGCCAACATAAAATCTCCAAAGGCTGAGAGCACAATGAAGTGGCCTTATTCCCACATTGGGAGCAGCTCCCATGTATTATCATCATCATGCCTGCACCCAAGGTTGGTCTGCATACAAAGGAAAATGTGAATTACACTCTCTTGCTTCTTTCCCCTTCACATTTACTCTATTTTTTTAACCGCTGCTTCTCCCCACTTTCCAGGTCAGGATTTGAAACCTTTTCTCCTATGCTTGTTTTCTGTTTTTACCTTACTCCTGTGGTCACCAACAGGTCGATCGCGATCAACTGGTCGATCGCGAGGCCTCGACCAGTCGATCACGAGGTGTCCTGTCCGCCCCGCCCCTATTTCCCTCCCACCCCCAAGAAGCCCCACTACCTACCTCCAGTGAAAATGGAGGTAGTGTAGGCTTCCCGGGGATGGACAGAATCCTGCAGCTTAGTGCCACTTCCAGTGATTCCAGAAGTGAGCTAGCTGCTCTGCCGGGTGTACTGCGGGAGGGAGCATCGGCTCCCTGCATCACACAGGAGGGGTGAGTCAGCCCTGGGGCAGGCGTGCGAAGGGTTTCCCTGCACCGGGGGGTCGGCCCCGGGGCAGGCACACAGTAGGCTTCCCGGGGATGGACAGAATCCTGCAGCTTAGTGCCACTTCCAGTGATTCCAGAAGTGAGCTAGCTGCTCTGCCGGGTGTACTGCGGGAGGGAGCATCGGCTCCCTGCATCACACAGGAGGGGTGAGTCAGCCCTGGGGCAGGCGTGCGAAGGGTTTCCCTGCACCGGGGGGTCGGCCCCGGGGCAGGCACACAGACATG